TCATCCAAGTTGCTCCCACCAGGGGAGCATGGAAGTTCTTTTCCATTGCATACTCAGCAACTCAGAAAAATCCTTCTTCATTTTTCAACTAACTCCACTGTCCCAGTGGCTCTCATGGAGAACGTGGAGCCTAACAGCAGGAACACTGTACTGTGGTCTTCTAGGAGCTGGGGTTAAGAGGAAGAATCCTGAAGGCAGAAGAGGAGCAGTGCAAGAAAGGGATGGCTTTGACCCTCATTTCCATGCCCCCTTTTCCCTCTGTGTCTCCTCCCTTGGGGCCCCCCTCCAGCCCTTAAGATCAATGGGGGTTCACTTTCGCTGAGCTCAGCGACACTGCTCCCTCCTCACTTCCTGTGGCTCTGAGCTGACTGGCTAGGCCTGGTTGGTCTAGGCTGGGGACAGATCAGGGTGATGGGGCAGGGAGAGAAACTGTCATCTGCTGGGTGGCTTGAGTCCTGTGTCCTTTCTGGGCTGCACAAGGAAAAGGAAGAAGGCCTTTCGCTCATACCCTCTCCTCCTGCTCTCAGTGGAGGTGGAGTCCCAGAGGTGAATAATGTGATGCTGTCACCCTCTGAGCACCCTCTACTCCAGTCTCCTCCTAGGAAGCCCTCCTAGACTGAGAAGAGCTGCTAGGGCCAGGGAATTTCCATAGCATCTCCCTCTTCCACCTCAAACACACACCTAAAGAGTAGTAAGATGATTGGTTCATATTTGTGCAGCTCCCTGCATGATCTGTGACTTTCTCGCACATTATTGCATTCAGCCCTCCTGATAGCCAGGGAAGATGGGAAGCGGTGGAGTGACTTGCCCAAGGTCACCAGCTAATCCAGAGGGAGAGGCAGGACTGGAAGCCCAGCCCTGAGTTGTAGTTCATGCTGTTTCTGCTTCTGGCACTGCCAACCTCCCCGGGTGCTGGTGCTTCCCGCTTCACCCCTCCTGAGCTCTCCTGTAGGAAACCACAGCCTCTGCAGCGTGCCCAGGCCCGAGCCCTGGCTGGGCTTCCTGTTTTTTATCAGGCCAAACTGGACCCTTGAACCTAGCATTCGAGGCCTCCCATGTCCTCCTGGCTAAGTTTGCTCTTGCTCCCCCGTGCTCTGTAACATCCTCCCCACCCCAGTAGCCACCCCTGCACACACTGCAGCCCAGGGGTTATGAGCAAGACAAGTGTCTTCACTGAGCCTCAGTCTTCCTGGGCTGTAAAATGGGGGTGTGAACAGTATTAAGTCACGGGGTTGTTGGGATGCTGAAATAGACAATGTAGATAGAGCATCCTGCACAAGGCTTAGCAGTTAGCATGGGCATCATTCATGGGAACTGCAGGTATTATTAGTTGTACTTCTCTGAACCTCTCCAAGTTCTCCCCATTCCTGTCCCCAGGAAGGCTCCCTCTGTCATTGCCTGTGAGGGCTTCTCCCTTATCTGTCCTCTAACAGCCCTTAGAGCTGTAAGAAAGCCCAGGGGGTTTCAGGGGTACAGGGAGGGAGAAGGAGGCAGGTGGGTGTAACCCAGATCCCCTTACCCCAATTCAACCAGAGCACCTTTGTTCCAAAGCTTTTCACACATTGGGGTGCTACCTTATGATTCTGTCTGTAAAATGGGATTCCATTGCTGAAAAGGTCTGACAACCGCTGACTTAAGTCACCCCCTCCTACTCCAGGAAAGGAATCTGAGCCTTTGATTTACCTGGGGTCACAGTGAAGTCAACGATAGGCTTGAGCCTAGCCAGAGAGACCAAAGTCCTAGGTACTTCCAGACCTCAATGCTTTTCAAACCTGGAAGTCTCACTCCCTGGCAGGCATGAGTTCTAGAGAACAAGGACTGGCTGTGTGTGGTTCCTCTCAGCCCCCAGCTGATCCCAGCACTCAGTGCCCAGCAGACAAGTGCCAGCCAGGGGACAGCACAGGTCACGGACAGTTCTGGGTCACTAACGGGTTGTGCGTCCCTAGGCAAGTCTCCACACCCCCTTGAGCCTAAGTTTTCTCATAAGCAAAGGGCTGCTCTTTGTCCCTAAAGGGACAAGACCTGGCACACAGTTGGTGCTCAGCAAAAGGGAGCACTGTCCCTCCCCACCCTTTCTCCCAATCAATACCTGCTCCTTTGGTGGACCAGGGGGACAGTGATGAATAGCAGGAGGTCTTGGAGCCCTGCCCCGTCTTGCACAGATGGGGACCTTGAAGCCAGAGCTGGGAAAGGACTTGCCCAGGTGAGAGTGAGTCTCAGAGAGTGAGTCTGGGCAGAGTGGGGACATTTATTTGGGCAGTGTTACCAGGGAGGGAGATGAGGGCTTGGGCATGGGAAGGAAGCTGCTGAGGGTGGGGTCAAGGGAACAGGTGGGAGAGACAGAAAGAGGAGGATGGGAAACCGCACTGTCCCTTCCCATCCCCTCCAGCAGAGGGGCTGATTGAGAGAGCCTGAGACAGCTGTCTGCTCAGAAAAGTGTCTTAGTCACTAACGGCTACAGTGGGGAAAGTCCATCCTCCCAGTCATGCCCTGGGAATCCGGATGGGGGCAGGAAGGCCACCAACTGACCCTAGAGTGGCCACCTGTCCTCTCTGAACTGGACTTTCTCCTCTGTCTCTTCCCCTCCCCCCCAACATGCCAACAAAACTTTGCTGTGGCCTCCTAGAACCATCTCCGCCATCCCTCCCACCCCTTGGGAAGAGTTCTGTGTCCCTCCATTACACATACGCCTGCAGGAGAAACAGGCCTCTGTGCCCTATGAAAGTCCTTCCTGAGATCTAACTTCCATTCCTCTAGCTACAACCACAGTCTCTTTCCTCCCTCTGCTGCCTTCGAATGGGTAATCTGGAGCGAGAGTTGGAAAGATGATGAGAGACCCTCTCCCTGTAGTGACAGCTCCTCACAAGGATGGGAAGGGACCTTTGCAGTCCCCCAGCTGGGCAGAGAAGCGTGGGGTCCAGAGGTGATGCTTAGCTTGAGGATCAGATTTCCCAGAACAGACCCAATTTCAGCTATTCTGGGCAGTGATAAGGGAAACCTGAATTCAAGTTCCATTTCTGCCCACAGAAGAGACTAAAAAAAAACCCAAGAAATACCCCCAGGCCCCTTGCAACTGCCTGCCTTTGCACCATTCATGTCCCAGACCTTAGTCCCACCCACAGGCCCCACGACTGAGGAGGCCCAGACAGTGCCACAGCGGCGAAGGCAGTGCCATGTATTTGGGGGCTGTGTGCTATTTTCGGCTTATAGGGAGAGGATGGTTAACTCAGCATCCCTCGTGGGGCCCTAGGGCCCAGAAGCCTTCCCCAGCCACCAGTAGAGGATCCGGGCATAACCCGCCCAGGGGCACTAGGCTCTGGCCCTGGGCACACCTGGAGCCAGGAGCAGTGATTCAGGTCAGACCCCAGAAGGCACCCCAGATAGGCAGAGGGGAAAGGGTCACTATGGGGTAGGGGTAAGGGCCAGCTGCCAAGCCCAGCTTGGGGACCCCCAGTCCCTGCAGCCCCCTCCCTGCCTGCCCACAGCCCTGCCTCCCTCCCTCCCCGCAGGCGCTCAGCAGATCAATGCTGCCTTTGCTGACAGCTGAGAATCGAGCTCGCCTTCCCGCCCCCTCCCTCGCCCCTCCCGCTCGGCTCCGTCCCTCGAGAGCCTCCCGGAGGAACCGGGAAGAGTTTGCTGTGGAAGCGCTTCACCCTGGGGCAGGGCCTGCGGAGGGAGCGGCTGGTGTGGCAAGGGAGGAGGATCCAGAAACCCCAATTACCACCCTGTGCAGGGCTGGAGGGCTAAGGGGAGTCCGCCCCTACAGCTAGCGAGATAGAGGTCGGGCACTAAGAAGCACTTTGTCCCTCGGATAAAGTCTCTCCTTCTCTGGCTGGGATTCTGCGGGCCTTTAGGGCTGAGGGTGACCCCCGACCCCCGCTGGCTCAGAGCTTACCTCCAAACACCCCATCTGCCCCGAACCTGGGTCCCTGACCTGGAGTGAGACAAGGGAGGGCTTCCACCCAGGGAGGCAGGCAGCTGGGCCCTGGATCAGGGGAGGCTCCTTTTCGGAGCAGGGTGGCCTAAGTGGGGGGCTCTTCCCCCATCGTGAAGGGAACTCGGAGACTGCAGTCGTGGGAGGAACACTGAACACACCTGAGGCCCACCGTGTCACACACTCTGATACAGCTCACGGGCACCAGCTGATTCAGCCGCAGCTGCACGCCCAGCCACACACAGCCCGGGGCACACTTTGAGCATCCCGCACAGTGGCACAAAGGGCACGACCCCGAAGGGCACAACTCATGCTTACACCACGACTCCGCAGCTTGCACATCCGTCTTTGCATCCAGCCACAGCGTACCCACGACCCACACCTTCACCGACTCACTCCCACCACCTGGCGGACCCACAGCCACCCACGCTGCACGCACAAGTAGACACTCCTCCAACCATTCACACCCAAACTCCGCGAGACGCCGCGTCCCATCCTCGGCCGACCACGGCCACAACTCCGCTCTCCACGCCCGCTTTCCACAGCCACACGCGCGGCGTCCCAGCCCCGGCTGGCCTTCAGGGCCACACTGACCCACGCCGCGGTGCACACCACTCGCACACGTCCAGCCTCCCGGCCCCGCGCGCTGCCCCCGCCACGCGGTCCGGCCCGGGCACCGACTGGGCGGCTCGCGCGGCCCGTGCGCCCTGCCCCGCCGTCTTCTCCCGCGTCCCCTCTCTCCGCCTCGCCTCGCTGGCTCGCTCGCTCCCTCCCGATTTGGGAAGGCGGCCGCGGGGCGGGCGGGGGCGGGCGGGGGAGGGGCGGGGCGGGGGAGGTTGACATGTGAGCGGCTAGCCAGCGGCAGGTGGAAAGGCGAGCGGCATGGAGCGCGTAATAAGAGAGTTGGAGTCGGAAAGAGCCGCCCCAGTCGCCGGGGAAGCGGGCGGTCAGTGCGGGCTCCGGCGCCAGGTCGGCGCCCGCCCCCGGCCGCGCGCCCGGCCCGGCCCTAGCCCCGCCGCGCCGCCGCCGGGCGCTGCCCGGCCGGTCCGACAGCGCCGTGGCGCCGAGCGCGCCCCCGCCCCGGACCGTACCCCGGCTCCGGCCTCCCCCCGCCCGGCGCCGCCCATGGCCGAGGCCCCCCCGCGCCGCCTCGGCCTGGGCCCCCCGCCCGGGGACGCCCCCCGCGCCGAGCTGGTGGCGCTCACGGCTGTGCAGAGCGAGCCGGGCGAGGCGGGCGGGGGCGGCTCCCCGCGCCGCCTCGGCCTCCTGGGCAGCCCCCTGCCGCCGGGCGCGCCCCTCCCTGGGCCGGGCTCCGGCTCGGGCTCCGCCTGCGGCCAGCGCTCCTCGGCCGCGCACAAGCGCTACCGCCGCCTGCAGAACTGGGTCTACAACGTGCTGGAGCGGCCCCGCGGTTGGGCCTTCGTCTACCACGTCTTCATGTGAGTTTGCGCCCCCGCGCCCCCTTTCGTGTCTCTGCCATCCTGCCCCGCGCTGCCCCCGCGCCAGCCTGGGCTCCCTGGGGACGGCCGCCCCGCCCTGGCTCTGCCTTCTGCCCCCCTGCCCCGCGGCCGACCCTCATCTCTCTCCCCTCAGGCCCGGCCCCGTATCTGATGCCCCCCGATCCTGAGCCTGACCCTAACCCCTGATGTCCCCGTCCTGATCCCTGCTTGACCTCGCTTCTGACCTCCCCCCACCTGACTCCTTATTTCCATCCTGATGGCCAAGCCCTGCTCCTCTGTCCCAGGCGCTCCCACATCCCGCATCCGGCGGCTTGTCCGCGTCCACTCTGCGAAGTCTGGAGCCACTGAAGTGGGTTCCCTTTTCCTCTTCCCCACCTCTGCCTGCCTGTGTCCCAGACACACAGAGGACCCCTTGGCCCCCACACGCTTTGTCACCGCCTCCCCAGCTCTGTAGCCGTGATGGGCTCCCACCTGGGCTCCCCTTGGAGATGCCTCTCTCCAGGGACGGCCCCCAGCCCAGCCCAGGCTGGCCCCTGGTTGTAGATGTTTTGGGGTCCCTGTGGGCCACCTCGGCCCTGACACTCTTGTGTGCTGTGTTCCACTTTGTCTTCTCTCTGTGTTCTCCTCCACCCTCAACTTCCCAGTGTGGCAGCAGCAGCCACCCTGCCCGCCCTGCCCGCCCTGGCGGCTCAGCCCAGCCCGCCTGCCTTGCTGGCCGGCGGCACCAGGCCTGGCTCTGGGCACTGGGGAAAAAGAAAGCGGAGAGGGGTAGGTTTGGAAACACTGACGCTGCAGGCCCCCTCCTCCCCCTCTCCAGGCTCCTACAACTTTCAAAAACACTGACCCCTCTTGGATGTGCAGAGTGAATTTTGGCAGCTCAGGGCTCCGTCTTGGGGGATGGCCTGGCCCAGTCGGGAACATGAGAGGCCCGGCGGATATCAGTTGAAGGGTTGGGCCTGGCGCTGGGACGCTCAGAGGTGCCCGTGAGAGACCTCCAGTCCCTGGAAAATGTGCTGCTATTAATCCCTTCTGACCACAGTCAGAGAGGGCCCTCTGATGTTGTGGTCTCCTGGTGGCCCACTGCCTGTCCACCTGACTGTCAAGACAGTCCTTCTACTTGTCTGGCTGTCCTTCTGTCACACTGAGTTTCCACCTGTAAGTTGGCTTGTCTGTGCATCTCTCCACCTGTCTGTCTGGCTGTCCTTCTGTTTGTCTGTTTCCATCTCTCTGTCCATCTGTGTGCCTATCTGTCCATCTGCCTATCCACCTGGCCACCTGACTGTCCACTCTTCTTCTACCTGTCTTTTTCCACCTGTCCTTTGGTCTGTCTTCCTGCCTGTCCCTCTGGTGCCTGCTTGCCTGCCTCTGCCCCATCTGAACTGGGCCCACAGAATTTCGAGGTGAAGGGGTGGGAGATGCTGGCACGGGGAGGGGTAGAGGGAGGGAACTATCAGCCATTAAGTACCTGGAGGCGCAGCCTTAACTTTGTGCAGAGACTCTGGCTAGGCTAGGTGGGGTCAAAGAGTTGGAATTGTTAAGGACGTGAGTTCAAGCTTCTGGTCGGGGTCAACGGTTAGGAGTAGCCCAACCCCTAGTGCCCACTGGGGAGGCTGGATGAATATTTGCTGCTACGGAGAGGATGTTGGAGTGAGGAAGGTTCAGTGCTGGTGGAGTTGGGGCGAGGGGCAGGGGACTGCTCACTAAGCGTGGTGGCTGCACAGCCCAAGGAGGGTGAGACACTCCGCAGAGAGCGACTGTGCCCACCATGGGCTCCTTTTGCGAGGTGACTTTTCCACTGCCTGGCTGGGCCTGGAGAAGCCAGTGGGCTCTGAGGTGGGGGTCCTGAACGCCAGGCTTGGCCTCTCAGCCCCCACAAGGGTCACTGGAGGTAAAGGACCTGCTGCCATTCTCCTGGTCAGCTGCTGCTGGTGCCTCCTCTGGAAGGGCCTCCCCTTCCTCTCCAGGAGCTAAATCCGCTGACACCTTTACCCCACATCCTGCTGTTTCAGGATGCCAGGAATGCCCTGGCCAGGGGCATGCTTGTCTTAACCACTTGTCCCCAGGAGGCCAGGACCAGGCATTTCTTGGGAGCTCCAGGGGAGGAAATGAGGTGTGAAAACATCCCAATGCTAAGGGATCTCAGGGAATTGGTCGTCCATCTTGGAGGTCAAAGGGGGCTGCAAGGTCAGGAGCCCCTCCTCTTGTGTGCTCTGCGGCCTCAGATTGATCACTGGGCCTCTCTGAGCTTTATGTTGTCAAAGTGGGTAGAAACCCCAGCCTTGTGAGCCTCCCTGTTGGATCAGGAAATGGGAAAGCGCTCTGTGAACTGCATGCGCCTGAGTGTCAGAGAGGGTTGTTATTATTGGGGCTGGGGGAGGGGCCGCACAGAAGGTCTCTCCTGTTCTTGAGGAGCTCCAGATGTGGGGTTTCTCAGTCACTCACTGCAGGGTCTTGTGCATTCTTGCCAGGAAGTACTTCCTGCTATTGGACTTCTAGCCCTCTCTGTGCACTTTTGATCAAATCCTTTCCCCCTCCCCAGTCTTCCTCAGAGGCAGCCCAAGCGAGGGGGGCCACGTGGGTACAGTTAGCCAGGATCCCCTTCCCAGGGACGCCGGCTGTGGCAGGAGGGGCCCCAGCAGAAGAGCCTGTGAGAGAAGGGCTTGGGAAGGACAGAGGGAGCAGAGGTGAGCAGGCAGGTTCGCCTGAGGGGACAGCCCCCCCACACCTGCCAGCTGGGCCCCACCAGGCCCCACTCAGAACCTGCACCTTTCTGGCACCTAGGGCTGGGGTATGGCCCAGAGGACAAGCCCTGATACAGCCTCTCCTGCCAGCAGCTGTGGCCTCTGGGAAGTGAGAACTACTGACTCCCGTCTTCTCCCTGTTGAGATCCAGAATGAGGGGTCTCTGGGTCCCTCCTCGAGCTCTCCCTCCTTCTCTAGGTCCTCAGTCCCACCACCAAACCCCAAAGCCTTCCCTGTGCCCCAGTCCCTGATATAAGCCCTCAATTCTTCAGAGGCCCTGCTCCCTGAATTTTAAGAAACACCACCTTGCCGCCATCCTACTGTCTGAGCCTTGGGAGGATGCTGGGGCCGCACACCCTCACAGGCTGAGCAGCGCACCCCTCTCAGAGGCCACACCAGCCTCCCTGGAAGCCAGAGGGCCGGAAGGGGCTGAGCAAGACCCCATCTCCCGCCAGCCTCTCCGAGGTGCTGGGAGACTCACGCTCACTGCTCCCAGCCCCCAGCTGCCTAGCAAACTCTCTATGTGAAGCTTTACGGCTCTGTAAACATCCTCCCTCAGCCCTGTCCCTGGGGTCAGAAGCTGTGGGAATGGGGAAAGAGGAGGTGGGGGCAGCTCCCGGGGCCCCCTCGACATCCCCCACTGACCATCTGAGAGAGAACATCGCCTGGGTTGCAGATAATCCCAGCAAGGTGTACCCAGAACCCTCAGGTATCCCTGCTCGGTCAGTCCTTACATTTGACAGCCCCACTTTACTTGTGAGACAACTGAGGCTCTGAAGATCAAAATCACATGGTAAGCAGATGCAGGGGACTGGACCCCAAGACTCTTGACTCTCTGTCCAGGACCGTTAACTGTTCCCTGCGGCCACCTGGCCAGGCTCTCTGAGGTTGAGCTAGAATCTCTGATGGTGCGTGCAGCACGGGCTACGTGCTGAGCACGCTCTATAAACTGCTCTCACTGCGACCTTCATCAGCCCTGCTAGGGGGGGCACCATTGTCCTCCTCATTTGACAGATGAGGAGATGGAGACTTAGGAGAGGTCACTCAGTGAACGTGGAAGGGCCTCGGCCTAGAGCCGGGTCTGACTTGGAGCGGTCGTTCTCTGCAGCTCAGCCTCAGCCAAACCCAGGCTCCTCAGAGCCGCGCGCCTGTGTCATCCGTCTCTCCATCCCCAGCACCCGGCACGCAGGCAGCAGGGTGGGCAGTGATCGCATTTTGTGGATTTGAGTGGAAACTTCCAGCCTCACCCAATGTGGCCACACTTTTGATGCACACACATCTCCCCGATGTGCACCCGTCTGAATGTCTCGAGTACACGCTCACTGCGACACTGACACACATGCACAAGCACACATGTGGCATGCATCCAGCGAAAAGGCATCGAGTGCACAGCTGCCCCTGCCTTTTCCCCAGCTTCACAGACATGTAGCCAGAGACACACACCTGGGCCTGTGGCTCCAGCCCGGACCCCTAGGACAGAGCAGATGGCTCCATTCCTTGAGTGTTTTGCCTTCACTATCCACAACTGCAGGGCTGCCCTTGTAGGTCTGTCTGTATTTGTGTGTCCACCCCGGAGGGCAGCCTTGGCCTCACGCAGGGGAGGGTGGCTGGCTTCCTAGAGCTTTGCTGGCCCTTGCTCCTCCTGGAGGGCCCTCTGAGGCCCTTCCATCCAACCTTGCGGGGTACCGCTGGGTACACCAAGGCACAGAAAGGGACAGATACTCATCTAAGGCCCTGCCTAGTGAGTCAGTGGCAGGACGGTGCCAGGAACCCAAGCCTTTTGCCTCCCAGATCAGGACTTTAGATAACAATTTCTCAGCCCTCGCCAATCGGGAAGACTGATGCTCTAAGAACTTTGCCTTGTGACTGGGAGAGTCTTTGAGTGCCACTCAAATTGTTCGTGCTGCTGTTTTTCAGCCTGTCCTTTGCTTTAATCTTTGTATGGAGCAGGGAGAGACCATACTATTCCTAAACTACCTCACTCCTCCCCTTTTTCTCCCTCTTACACCCCTTTGCTCCCTTCTCCCCAAGTTCCCCTTTGGGGTCCCAGGGGCAGGTTAGAGCTCTCTCGTGGCCTGCCCACCCCTCCCCAGCTCCACAGTACATTCATTCTTGCCATTGAAGACATCCTGCTGGATGTCTATCTTCAATCCCTGTTGCTGCAAAAGCCTATATGCTTGGAAGGTTGGAGCCAGGAGTGTTTCAAGAGGTGATTATTCTTGGGCTGATGGCAGCACT